AGGGAAAGATACTGTCAGCCTGCTCTTGTAGGCCAGGTAGATCAGATAAGCCTGTTGAATCTCTTACCTACAGCTTCTGTTCCTCATTCAGTCAACAAGTTTTAAATGAACAACTGTTAAACACAGCTGCCTCCAACCAGCCCCTTGCAAAATAATGTGGACATTGATGGTATTAGAGTTGTAAGAAGGAAAAACCACCAAGAACAACTGGGAGATAAAGGAAGGGGAGAATAAAGAGATCACCAAGTTTCTGCATTTTTTTCCTCCCACTGATGAATTAAAAGAGCTTGCTGCAGAAATGCAGGAGTACCATATGGAACCCATAACTTCAAGTGCACAAAAAAAATCCTTTGCTTGTCCAAAAGGCTAAAAATCTACTTATGTCTAGGACTGAATGATTAAAACTGCACCACACTGAGTGGGGTGTTAAATACTGCAGGAAAAACTACTTTAGTGGCGACTGTGCTAATCAACACTGCTAGCATTGTTAGCCACAAGCTAGCTCTCTCTCACTCAGTCACACTACTCAACAGCTATGTGACATGGTCTTGTAAAATGGACTTGTGTGTTGAGGGAGGAGAATAAAGCAGTGAAGTCATGTTTCATTCTAAATCCATCAGTAGGATATGGTGTCTCTCTAGCGATTAAAAAAACCAATACAATAGCCCAACAACTTTGAAAGCTATTAGTGTGCATTATGAAGTCTCCACTATAAATAATTATTATGGTATATGACTCAAAAATCAGGGGAAGCATCTAATATCAGTGTTCAGAGAGAAGGCCTGTTGCTGGGTCAGAGCTCTGCTAACGGTACGAGGGAGGTGAAAAGGGACAACATGACAATAGAAGCAGCTTCAGCCCCTGGAAAACAAGGCAGGCTTTTGAGTTCTATTTCCCAATTGCAGACTGTTCAATGACAGCAGAAAGTGGAGTGCATGGGTGGGACATGTGGTAACAGATCCCTAGATCAGTATTTTTATATATGTGAGAGAGAGATACTCTGCATATAGATGATAGATGCAAACGAGAGAGAAACTCGCACAGAAGAGATTCTACAAGGTCCTCTCCCTTTTCTGATGGGACCGAGGTACATTACCCATGAATTGTGAAAGTAGAGTCACTCACCTAATGCTGTCACCACCACACTGACTGGTGCAGATATCCTCTCCACCACCTTATGCCAGCTCCCATTGTGCAGTGGTACCCAGACAGCTGCTTGGCAGAAGTAGTAGCCAGAGTCTTCCACATCACGCACCAAGAGGCGATAGGAGTTCCTGTCTACATGGCTCAGACTGATGAGAGTTGAATCACTGACAACAGAATCACGGTCCATGCTCAGCAGAACCTGAGCATCTGACAAGGTATCATCAGGTGACGCAGAAAAATACCACATCAACTCTGCTTGGAAAATACCACTTCTGTCTGTTGTGATGTTGCATGTAAGTTCCAGGGAGTCTCTTTCAGTCACAGACACATTGCTTGTTGAGATGACCACATCTAGAGCTTAGAAATGAAGAGACAAAAATTAAAAAAAAAAAAAATTAAAAAAAAAAACCCAAAAAACGAACTTCACTGTAATTTATCCAGGACTTCACATTTTCTTACATTCTCTGAAGTAGCTCGGCAGCCCTACCTTCAAATACCTGTTGGCTATTCAGCTGCATGATCTATTACAAGGGAAGTACACATTATCAGTCAAGCAAGGGAGGTGTGACCAGGACACGGGGAGGAAGGGAGGGAGAACAGGATTTTTATAACTCAATGGCAACTGCTCCATGAAGGCTTTGTCCCAATCACAGACCGCACGTCACCTTCACACCGCAGGAAAATGCGTACAGGATTTTCCATTCTCACAGGAGGGTAAAAGTGTTTTGGCACTATCTCTCAGAAGATAAAGCGTCCACTGAAATCACTAGGAACTACATTAAAACTCAACTTGGTTTCTGCTGATATGGTTTTGAGCTCCTCTAACAGAGCCAATCTAGATGAGAATCAGCCACGGCCACATGTTGGAGTCCTGACTAACATCAGGTGTGCTGCAGAAACATGAAATGAAAGCAAACAGAAGGCAGCAATAACTCCTTATACTGCCGATCCCTCCACTTACTGCTCTGACCAACACACACTGAGGACTTTAAAGCAATGCCAATTGCCACTTAAACACATTTAACAAACTCCTCCACTGGCCAGTGAATATTTTTAATATACATACCACGTGTAGTCACAGCCAGCATTCAAACAGGACCTTCTGCATTCTGTAGGTTACCAGGCTGGCCACAGCTTTCTTAGAAGAAAGCCATGGGACAAAAGTGTCAAGACCAAGAGTAGCAAAGCTGGCCTTAGTTACTAGTGAGAGGTGAACAAAGGGTGCTGTGTGCGTTGTTTGTAAACCTCAGTGCAAATCATTCACCAAGTTACTTGGCCATCATATGTCTTCACTTGCTCATTCCCTCATTCTACATTGCCTAAAGATTAGGATCTCGCTGCAGCACCATTCCCACAGCATGTAATGCACCTGCTCTTAAAGTTTCAAATGAGGCCAGTAGACCAGGCTGCTTGAGCACCAGCTGTTCTCAGCAGATCTATGACCAAGAACATGAATACAGACTCCCACCTTAAACAGGCAGCTACGTCTCTGGTGCAGATCAGTGACTTCTGTGTCAAACCATGTTCTACTACATAATAGGCACCCATCTGTGAAAGCCTTCTAGGATTATTATCAGGAATGAGAGACAACATATAAAGGCCAGAGCCAAACTAAGCAGCCACAACTACTGCCAATAAAACCAAGCAATACTCATCTCACCACCTGATAGCACAGAGCAGTCAAACTGAACAGAGTGCACCCGAGTGGTAAAGCAAATCTGACGAGTATCTTATTGGAACTTCCCTCACTGTCTTATCATGGGATTGAAATCAGTAAGAAAGCCTAGTTGATTTAACAAACTAATACCAGAATACAAAATAAGACTCATCTGCGAGGTCAAGAGCAGCATTTCTCCAAGGAACACTTCTGTCTTCATGAAATAGGGACAGGCATTCAGAATCTGGTGGTATATGCATACAGAGAGACTTCTGAGAGAGTTTACCCAAATGTATATATCCTCAATGCTCCTTTTTTGGTTACAAACATGTCTGAAGGCCTCACTTAGGGTTACATACTTGTTGTGCAAGGCACTATTTAAAAAAAAAAAAAAAGACATATGATAACAAAGCCGGGCCCAAAGATGTCATTATTCTAGGAGATGAAATTGATGGGCAAGTAGATCAAAGAACAGCAACAGAAGAAAGCCACACACAGTTACACAAGTAACCTGTGCATAACTTTTTTCATTAGATACATTAATTCAAATTTTGGGGTTTGTTTTTTAATTTTACAAATTTAACCCCATCATTTACAGCAGGTGAGAATTAGGGAAGCACAGCAACCAGGCATACTGTTTACAACTCAAGTTCATTTTAGCATGCAAGTGCAGAGGTTTCAGGTATCAGCACAAGATGCTCTTCAAGTCCTACTACAGGATGTGTGGGTAAAAGTTTCCACAATATTTTGCTGGAGAATCACCCATCCCATTTAGCATAACTTTAAAAAAAACCTTCATGCCCCTGAAAAAATGCCAGTGCTGCCAACGACTGAGCTAAAAAATGAAGGAACAAAAACCCTAAACAAAAATCCCACAAACAAAATTGCATATCCAAAACCCATTAAAAAAACTGTAGTACTACTGGTCCTGGCCATCCTCACCCTGTTTTCTGCACAGATTAAACCTCACCTACTTAAACCAAACTCTCCAAAAGTGCAACAAAACAGAAATTACAGCTCTTAATTAAACAAGCCCTGCCTCAGCAGAGAGCACCTGCGAGCTTTACTGTGCAACAGACACCCTGAAAAAGGGGGCAGATGTATCCTGTCAAATTTCACAGGCTAAGTACCACCAAGATACTAAAACTACATCCACATGAGCTTGCCAAAAAAGACAGCAGTTCTGAGTTCTCCCTATAGTGATTAAAGGATTACAAAAATAAAAACATATCCTTACTGTCTGAACACTTCTAAAATATCATCTTATTTTCAGATTTCTGAGGGACCACCATTGCCTGTTTTTCCACCTATTGAGTAACAAGATGCATGTGTGTGTGTGTGTGTCTCTCCCCGCTTTTGCTCCTCCAACTAACAGTGGTAATGCTAATGCAATTAAGTGCTTAGCACATCTCCTGAAATCTATATGGGCAGGGATATCTGGATATCCTCAGCATAGCCCTACATGTATTTTTTGTCTCCTTAGTCAGGCATGCAATGATGTGTTCAACAGAACCATTACTGTCCTAGACCTCTGTCAACACAATGGAGCAATCAGAGCAGTGATCCAGTGTCAGTGATAAAAACCACTGGATAATTTGTCCTGTTAAATAATCACTGCCTTCCTCCTTTCTCTTGATCTTTCTGTGCTATTTTAATAAACAACATACAGAAAAGCTTCACATCTGTCACTGAATCACAAGCCACTTTTTACAGTGAAAGTGCAGCTGTTCAGCGCTATGGGACAACCCTATGTTAATAAGACAACAAAGGGAAGGTTTCAGGTGCTCAAGGGTTAAATACAACATTTATTTAAGGAATATAAAAACCAGAAGCAATCTGAAGTGAATTAAGGATGCAATAAAATCTAGGTCTAGGCATCTAAGAAGTCAGTCAGTCTTTCTATGCTATTATTCCCATTCCCCCAAAATAAAAGCAAGAAAAAATATGCCAAGCATTTTCTGTTGACTCAGATGTAAACAGTCCAGCTATCCAAATAGCACTCTAGGTCCTTCTGGAACGTATTCTCATTTAGCTCAGCTTACCCAACTTCAGCTTTCAAAGTATCACAGTCTGGACACACCACTCCTGTAGCTATGAGCTGTGACCCCAGCCCATCAGCAACACTCACCAGTCCGTTGGATTGCCACATTTGCTATCTCCACGCTCTTCTCCTGAATCTTCTGCCATGAGCTATCTGCCCCTCTCACCCACTCGCTCACAAGGCACCTGTAGGTACCCCCATCCACTGACGAGGCCTGGGATACAGATAACCGATATGTGTCATTCGCTCCTGTGTCCAAGCGGATATCTCCATTACGGTAGCGCTCTTCATAGGCAGGACCCGGCTGGAATTTGCCCTCATGAGTCAAAGATAGGATGTCCCTCCAAGTCGATCCACTTTTGATCTGCCAAGTCACATGCAGGTGAGTGTGCTCCGGTGAGGTGGTAATTGCTGAGCAACGCAACTTGAAGGAGTCACCCTCAGACAGCCTGAGAGACATTGAGGAACGTGCTTTTGAACCACCCACTGATAAGCCATCTGAAATCACTATTAAAAAAAAAAAAAGACCAAAAAACACAAGCATCATAAAATGGAAGCAAGAAGAGAACACCCACACAGACCTGTTCAGATATGAGGCAGTGAAACTACCACAGAGCAACACCTGGCCAATAATTCCTTCTTCCACACAAAAATATATTCCAGGAACAAGGAAATTCAGCTGAAAAATCTACTGAAGGAAGTACTCTGCTTTAAACAAGCCAAGACAAGCATTCAAATTCATTCATACTTCCAGTCACTTTAGTTTCTCATCCAAACGTCATCATTCTGCCTATTCCCATCCAGAACCATCTTGATTTTCATGGGATTAAAAGATAAGACACTGGAAAAAAATAGTCTCCCAAGTTACTACTGAAGAATCTTAAATGCAAGAGCAAAGCTAGGGTATGACTATGCTAACGGGGAAAAGGAAGATTACCTCCTTCATATAGAAAGATCCCTAAATGACACTATAAATAAGAGAGAGAAGACAGGTTGTGTTTTTTACCTGAATTTAGCCTGTCTGCTTGGAAGTTTAGGGACATTAAATATTTGCAGACATCTTCAGAAAACCCACTGCTTAGTTTTCCCATATTTATTTATGTATTTACTAGATAGAAAAAACGAAATTGGTGTTTATAGTAAACAGCCTCTCTTCACTTCTTCACCTCACTTCCCTTTGCTATCATATGTCCCAGTTTGCAATTTTGGCTTTAGGAGAATTAAACAGGAACACAGTGAAGAAAAGAAAAAAAAAATATCACAATGCTCATAAGCAACAGAAATTCAACATTCTTAAGGGTACATCAATATTAAAAACAAATTTAGAGCACATCTCTCTTCAGAAATACCTTTCACTTGGACCTCTGCATCGTAATTTCCCTGAACAGTGGCATCAGTGCTGGGTGTGGAGCATTTGTATCTCCCTTGGTCAGTTGGCTGGATGTTTCTAATCACAAGTTCCACAGCATCGTTGCTGCTCCGTCTCAGTTTGATATCCCCGTGGCCCACGCGTTTTTGGTACTCCTCAGAGGTGAATGTAGAATCCCAGGTACTCACTATCCGCACAAAGTCAGTCTCCCGGGAGAACTCCCAGTCAAAGTTCTGTTCACTGGGTCCATCGTAGTCGCTAACGCTGCAAGGGATCATCACCTCCGTGCCCACGACCCGAATAAGAGGACCTTTGGGCACCCTCACAACACGCCCTCTGCAGAAAGCTAGGCAGAAGAATAGAGAGAGAACACACAGTTAACAAAGGAATTACCGGGATAGACTTTGACCAAAAAAACATGAAATAGAATAAGGTTGGGCACTCCACTCTGCAGAAAGCTAGAATTAGTAAGAGCAGTATTTCCCATTAACATTTAATCTTAGTGGAGCAGGATCCTCTAAACACACCATTTTTAGTGTAGGCAATCTTTATTTCATTGCTTATTTAGTAACACATTAAATAACGAAATACTGAAGGAGAGAAAATTCGGGGGGGGGGGGAGAACTAGCCATAGATCCAATAGGTAGCAGTTTCTCTACTAAAAGCCAAGTGCTATGTAAGACACCTGAAAACCACTTATTAATGTTGTTTATTACTACAGTGAGGGTAATCTAATCAGGCACTTTTATAAATCTTCTGCTGACATCAATAGAGGGTTCAAAGCAGGAAACTAACTCTCCCCTAGCTTAAGGGCCATAAGAATGGTAAGTTGACATTCTCCAAAAATGAGCATAGTCTCTTCTGCCCTGGAGGGTCATGGCTTCTCTGATACAGGTGAGCTGCCTTGCCTTCCTAATTGATTTAGAAGAACGAACTGATTTCAACAGACACAGTTTGCTTGAAAGGATTTCTGCAACCACATCTCTTTGTAGCACACGCTTCCTCTCTGGTGGAAGTCCCAGAACACAGAAGCATGAGCAAAGCAAACTCCCTCTAGAGTAGAGGAACACACAGTGTTTAGACTGTGTTTTCTGGGACCATCTCACTAGAAGCGTAGAACAACAGCAGCTCTCTGCAGAAGGCTGTCAAAGCAGTATGTTATGCACCAGGCAAAAGTGTGAACCACTTAAACTAGCCAGAGGACCTGGCAAAGATGCAGCAGGAGACTTTTCTGGTTGATTTGGCTCTGTAGCCCAAAGAATAACCCTAGCAGCTGCACATGGATTTTGACAGGTTCTTACATCCCAAAAGAGCAAAATGTTTTGATTCATAGTTCCAACCAGAGAAATATTTTCAGAAAGAGAGGGGTACTACTTAAATTCAGCCTCCAAACATGAAAAGCCTATGCATCCTACGAGCTCTGTATCCATAGGAAGATATTTTGGCAGCCAGGTAGAACATTAGTAGCCAGAACACTGAAGAACAGATCTTGCTAAAACCAAGTAGATGGCCATAACAGCATCAAAAGCAGTTGGACCAAAAGGTTGATCTGAGATACTACAGGGGCAAAGCCAAATTTAAACAAACAACCCCCCAACACACAAAGTCCAGCAACCTACAACTGCTCTAATTCATCAGCTACATTGAGGAAGCCACCAGCTAGTGACATGAACAAATATACCTGCTGAGCCTTCCCCTCCTCTCACTCCTGCTGTAGATTAAGATGCCACTTGCTGGCTCAGAACCATCATGCCAATAGGTATCCAGGTGCGGGCAAAGAAGTTAGTCTTCTAACTAAGGAGGGGGTGGGGGGTGTCCCCTTTCCTTTCCCTTCCTTTTCTCCCTCTTCTCCCTGCCCTTCTGGGGTAAAGGGAGAGAACTGCTCAAGCAGCTGCATGGTTCTAGCTGCCTGGTTGGGGTTAAACCACAACAGATGTGTTAAAGAATCAAGTTTTCTGTGGGCACTTAACAGCTACACAAACAGCTATACACACCAAGCATAACTACAAGAGAAAAGCATATTTTTATCTCCAGTTACAGTCCAGCAAACAGTTGAACCAAGGACTGACAGTACCTTTACCTCCTCAGTTCATAACTCCCAGCACGCTCTTTGCTTTGCAGGTTGTTCACATGTACAGGTTCAGTCATAACAGACCGTTTTCCTCATTGCCATGACCTTCTGTATTCAGCAATGGTACTTCATTAAACTTATTTGTAATGCAGTCTGGGGTTAATCTCTTACCCCTTATATCGCTCCCAGAAGACAGTTATTGTGTACCTGATGAAGTGACTGACTAGCCCTAATAAGGAAGCTGGACTTCTCTGCACCATTCACATGTGAATAAGAGACAAAACCTTCCACTACCGATGTGTTGTTCCACAACTAGATGTCTTTAAGGACATCTCTCCGAACACAAGCACCATATACTAAAATCATTGATACAGAAAAATAACCAACAAAAAATAAAGCAAGCTGCAGGGCTCCAGTGTATTTCCTCACAAGGTCTTAAGTTGCAGCCCCATTCAGTCTTTCAATTTAGCCTCTTACAGAAAGCGGTAACAGCAGCAGGTAAGCTCTAAAGCACTGCCTTACAGCCAAACCAGCTTCCAGCAGACCACTGTGGGAAGTCAACACAGGATCCTAACTGAGGGCACTCCTCAAACACTGAGGTCTCTCTGGAAAACACTCTCCTGTGACACTAAAACAAGAAGACAACGCTGTTCAGCATGTGTCTTCAGCTGTAGACCCACATACTGTGCGCTGCACTAATCCAATCTAGAGGTGACAAAGGCATGACTAATGTGGCAAGGGCTGCACATTTGTGTTTGAGATTAGCACCTACAGCTCAGTTTCTCTTCTTCCAAGGTCACTAAAGACCCGTTGGCACTAAAGGAAGGTAGGGGGTGATTAGCACCTTCGTAGGAGAAGGCAGGCCAAAGGGAAAGATAGGGGCACAGGGACTTCTCAATGGATCTGTTCAGAGGCCGTACCCTATTGCTGTAAAAGCAATGCCTATCCCCCTCCTCACAGCACAATCCCACAAGCAATTCCAGTTTAACACAAAGTTGGAAGGAGGGCAGTGGAACAGGCTGCAGGAGAGAAGAGGGACAGCCTGTAACAGTTATAATTTTATACTTAAACAATAACATTTGTTACTGCTAAGATAAATTAGGATTCTTGTAAGGCAGGAGCACACAGAGACAGCATAACAAGAGAATGAGAACTTACTGCAAAGCATCTGCTGTGCCCTGCCCACAGCTATCGGGGAGCACGCACAGGGCAGACACTCTGAGGGTGAGCTGCAGTTCTAGGTGACCCAGAAGGGTCAATATCCAGCAAGTTGTGAATCCAGGGTTCTGCCTTTTGTCTTGAAGCAGTCAACAGCAAGAGTATCCCTAGCTTCTAAACAAGATGCTATGTTCTTTGCTGTGCATTAGGGATTAACATTTCATGTAACTGTAGCAGAAGGCAGAGCTACAGGCACTGATCTTGGCAAGAGGGGAACTCCATTCTACTCTGGCAGATAAATGAGAAGCTTTTACAAATATTTCATTCTTGCAGCACCCTGTGTTACTCACATACACCCCCTGCATCTTCCCAGAGCAATCAAAGTTCAGCTTCCATGGTATGAGAGCTTCAAACTCTGTAAATTTGTTGGAAACATTTATTTTTCATGACACCTAATATATCTCACTGTTAATATAAGGTGTCGTGTCCTTAATGAATTCACTTGAATCCCATTTAACTGTAGAAAAAGATGGAGGACAGAACAGTGTATACACTAGCAACAGAAAAAAAAACAGAACTTTGACAATTCAGTATTTTTCAGTATCACTGAGACCACCAAAGATGTGTATTTTGTAGGAACTCAATAACTGGCTCTGTATCATAAACTGCAACATCAAACCTGCCTGAGCACAAGATTAATTGCCTAAACACAAAATTTTATATTTTCAGAGTTACCAGACCACCAGCTGAAATTGTAAGGAACTATTTTCCAAAACAAAACATAATGGAGCCCCTGTAAGGAGGTCAGCACACAAACACAAGGGATGGGACTTGTTCCTTGGGCTCATTAGACAGGTGACAGGACTACCAGGCAACACTAGTGCTTTTGCAGGGCTGGGCCAGAAACACCCCAAAGGCAGGACAACCACACACAGAGCCTTCACGGCTGTTGTCGTGGTTTGGCCTCAGGCAGCAACAAAGAACCACGCAGCCGCTCACGCAACTCCCACAGCCGTGGAAAAAGAAACCGACAGGGCAAAACCCGTGGGTTAAAAGAATGCAATTTAACAGAACAGCAAAAGGAAAGATGAAAACGCAGTTACAGTAGCACCGCAAAGCACACCGACCCCTCGCCGCAGCCCACCCCCGAGTGGCGACTGCTCCCCCTGCCCCGGCAGAGCCTCTTATAGCCCGGGCATGGGTCCCTGTACCTGGGATGGAACACCCGCCCCCTGCCGGCTCCGGGGGACATTAACCCCATCCCTGCCGCAACCAGGCTGTTTTTCAAGCACCTGATTAGAGGATTCTCCCAAGGAACACATGAAATACTCCACCAGGAACACTGGCAGTGTGGCTCACGGTAGAATAATAAACTGAGCCCTGCCTTATTAATAATCCAGAGGCAAGATAGCCCAGACATAGCCTAGGCAGTTTAGAGCTAGTGTTTGTTCCCTTAGTAATGGTCCATGAAGTACTTAAATTAATTTGTCCCATCACTGAGATGCACCATCTCATTGCTGTCATTAAATGAAATCCTTTCAGAGAGGAGAACAAGGAAAGCAGATGACTGAATAGATAGGTTGTGAAGTCAATCTGAGTACATTAAATACTAACTTGTCAGTTTTAGGATAATCAAGAAAACAAGGCAGCAAAATCGTGCAGAATCTACAGAACAGGTGGTCTGTTTAAACTCTCAACAAGCTACACAACTCCTCAAAGAAAGGGCTGCTGAGGATTTCCCCTTGCATTAAGGACATTGGTATAGATGAGCAAAGTCTTCTAGGAGACTCATTTTCACACAGGTTTTACATCTATGTATCATTTATGAAAGGACAAGATGAGAAGTAATCTGCGGAGTCACCCACGAGGCTGAGATACCACTGCAAAGAACCGACTTCTGCTTCAGCACTCTTACACAAGGTGGTTCCTCTAGACAGCTCTATCTAATAAGAAAACATGTTCTCTTAGCAGCCCAGAGAAGGAGGTTGACTCTCTGCGTCCCCCAGCCAAAGGAAAATGCAATGTGACATGCAGTAGGAAGCCAATTAAAGCCAAAAAAGTAAAAGCTGAAGAATGAGTAAATTGGCTCAGACTAAGCACTCGAGCCTCTGCATCAGAAAG